TCCCATCCAGCTCTCTGCTATGGCCTGGGAAAGCAGTAGAAGATGGGTCAAGTCCCTGGGCCCCTGCACCCACGTGGGAGACCCAGAAGAAGCTCCTGGCTCTTGGCTTCAGATCTGCGCAGCTCCGGCTGTTGCCACCATCTGGGGAGTGAATCAGTGGATGGAAGACCTTTCTGTCTCTACCTCGCTGTGACTCTGTCTTAAAAAACAAAAACAAAAAAAGAAACATTCAGAAACCATAATTTATGCCACAATGAAATCCTATGTCTGACTCATTTATCTTAGAAATTAAGACAGTGTCTGTGCAAATTTATTTGTACATAATTTAGTAAAGTGATACAAACATAGAAGCATGAAACATCCATTTTTATTTTGAATAAACAAGCATTATGTCTTGGTTAAAGATGCTGGGATACAAACAATTCCAAATCCAGTTTGTTCTCTTTTTTTCCATGCCTAAAGTTAAGCAAACTCATCTGTGCAAACTTCTGAGTAAGCTCACACCTTGGCTTTGGCTCAACACCAGTTTTCCCCAGCTTTCAGAGTAGGAGCTGCATGGCAGGCTAGGAGGTAAAAGCTGTAGATTGTAGATAAACAACTTCCTGTTGATTTCCAGTTATTACCCAAATAGATGAAGCCGAGTGATACTCCATGGTCCAGTGCAGCTTGGGCGAGTGAGGAATTCATTTCACTGGCATCCAGGCCACTTAGTGCTGTTACAAACAATCTGCCCTTTTGTTGCTAAGCCCTTCTGTTTTGTGGCGGATGCCTTATTTCATGTGACAGTTTCTCTTCTAGTAGCGACATCTCCTTCCCTGAGATGACTTCAGCAGCAGTGATGTCCAAGAAAGTGACACCAGCTCCCAGACCTCAGTTTCCCCATTTATAAAACCAGGTTAGCCACACCCCAGCCCACTTCCAAGGCTGCCTGCTGAGAAACGGGTCTTTTCTTTTTCTTTTCCTTTTTTTTTTTTTTTTTTCTTTTAAGGAATGGTTCTATAGCCACCTGCAGGGCAGTTATGCTGGGAGGTAACATGCGTGTAATTCACTGTGGTAATTTTCAGTGGATGTGTTGCAAATGATGTGTTTCAGTTCCATAGAGGTCCTTGAATCTCATACAGTCCTGAAAAAAGCTGAGCCTTTGCCCTTGGCAGTGACCGACAGGTCTTTTCCGACAGGCAAAGCGGCCAAGATAGCATTTTTCAAAGTGCCACTCTATATTTAGCAGGCCAAATTGCCTATGGCATCCTTCACTCTCCCTTTGTACTTGCAGCACCTAAAACAGCTCTCCCTCACCTGCAAGGTCATAGACAGTGGGCAGGCATTGATCTCTGCTGCCCGTGGAACCCAGAATAACTCCACTACTGAAAATGCTGCGCTGGGGAGAAACTGAAAAGAATGGATGCCGCTCAATACAGCTTTGGCAAGGTGTAGACACAGGGGAGAATTTTAGCAAGGTTGGTGCTCAGAGGCCCCGCCTGCTCCTGTTAAGAGAATTCCAAGTCAATGTCAGAGAGGAAGGATCCTCAAGGTCAGAGGTTTGCCCTGAAACTCCCACTCCCACTCCCACTGTATTCCCTTTCCTTACCTTTTCTCTCCTGGTATTGTTCTCTTTCATTCTGTCTCACTCCCTCTCTATCTCCCCTACCCATTCTCTCTTCTTCTTTTCTTTCCTTCCTACCTTTATATAGTTCAATTCTCATTTATTTTTTAATTAGTTTTTAACAGATTCAATGTGATTTGTAGCTACGATTCTAAGAACCTAACAATATTCCTCTCCTACTTCCTTCCCTTCCTCCCCCTCTCTCCCACCTACCTTCTTTCCTTCTCTCTCTTCTTTTTAAGTTTAGTTTTGGAGATAATATATTTTAAAATTATATTACAGTAAAAAGGCTTACTACTTCACCAAATAAGAGATTTAACAAATAAAGAGCAAAAAGACCCAAGTTTGGTGGGAATATAGACAATGTCTATATGCAATAATTGAATGATGGAAAAATGAACAATTCACTCATATACAGCAAATTTTAAAGTAATCACAGGTCATTGAAGCTTTAGTAGTCTAACATCTCTCACCACTGGCTTGACATTACATTCCTACTGTATTTTGTGCAGTGTGTAAGACACCAGGATAATAACCGAAGCTTATTAAGCCAAATGTTACTATCTTCAAAGAGCTCATCTACTAGGGTGCCGGACAAACAAGCAGGCCATCCTAACATGGTGTCATAATAGAAAGACACAGAGCTGGAAAGGGTATACAGCCAGCAGTAGAGGGGCTGAGGAAGGTCAAGGGCAAGGATTGTTAGGAGCTGAGTTACTCTCACCCCACCAGACAAAGCCTGACCACAGGGGAGTGCACCCCATTTCGCTCCTCTTTCAGTTTGCGTGCAAATGAGAGAGCTCTGTTAGGGACACTTGAACCTCCTCCAGTCTCAGTTCCTGTTGTGTTTCCTGTCACTCTTCATATCCCTACCTCTCTGGCCTGTGGCTGGAGATGCCACACCTTCTTCTTAGGAGTGAAGAGAAGGTCTAGAGCTCACAGAAGGAAAGGAATCACACTCCATTACACAAGACAAATATTTTTTAATTTAATTATCTATATTTTCAAGGAATGAGAGCTCTGGGAGTTAATGGCATGTGGGCGGTCATGATGAGTCAAATAGAAACTACTTAACGGGTGAATAGAGAAAGCTAGGACAAAATAAGCTTTGTTTCTACTGAGAGATTTTACATCCAGGTGTTTGCCCTTGGTTAATGTTAATGGGTATTTGCACACAGTCCTAGATCAGATCTAATGGTGGTAAGAATGACATGGGCCAAGGCCTCCCACAGTTTAGGAATTTTCTAGTGACTTGCTGTGGGACTTTCTAGGTATGTAGAGTCATGGCTCTCTCTTCCTAAAGTAACTCTACTTGTCTCTGATGTCCTCAGTTAAGCCCTTGACCTTCCTTTTTTAAAAAAATTTTTACAATGACATACTTTCTTTTTTAAAAAAATATTTATTTTATTTATTTGAAAGAGTTACAGAGAGGCAGAGAGAGAGAGAGAGAGAGAGAGAGAGAGAGACATGTCTGGAGAGAGAGGTCTTCCATCTGCTGGTTCACTCCCCAGATGGCTGCAATGGCCGGAACTGTGCCAATATGAAGCCAGAAGCCAGGATCCAGGAGCCAGGAGCCTCTTCTAGATCTCCCACATGGGTGCAGAGGCTCAAGGACTTGGGCCATCTTCTGCTTTCCCAGGCCATAGCAGAGAGCTGAATCAGAAGTGGAGCAGCTGGGACTCAACCAGTGCCCATGTGGGATGCCAGCACTGCAGGCAGCAGCTTTACTCCACAGTGCCAGCCCCACAATGACATATTTTCAGTTTACCTTATACTCACAAGCTTAACCCTCCACTAAATAAAGAATACAACCAGCAGTAAGTAGAAAAACCACTGTTCCTCAAGCGTAAAGGCAAAGGCTATAAACACTCAACAAATCTCAAACTTAATTTTGCTCATATGCATTACATTTTTTTGGATTCTGTATATTAGTTGCTGCAAATCATGGAAAACATGAGTTATTTGTCTTTTTGGCACTGGCTTGTTTCACTAAGCATAATGGTCTCCAATTGCCTCCATTTTGTTGCCAAAGACATAATCTCATTCTTTTTAATGGCTGAGTGGTATTCCATCATATATATGTAGCACAATTTCCTTTGATCTTTGTGAGATGCTCTCTAATCACTATATTGCTGCTGGAGATCTCGCTGGTCCCACCTAGCTTCTGGGAGGATGCAGGCAGCTGTTGCCGATGTCCCTTGTCCCTGCCAGCTGTCAGATCGCCAAGGCTGTGCACTCTGCAACACACTATTGCCACACATTAGGCCTCTTCCAATCTGCTAGCCCCTTTATATTCCTATGCCCCACCCTGGACTTACAGGAACATTTGCTTCTTCCCCCAGGCAGGCCTCGGAGGCCCTTGTCACTCTAACCTAACAGGCCGTATTTTTATGTCACTGTCCCAACCTGTCATAAGGTTGGAGCATCTCCTGAGGTAGTTTCCCCCTAAGAGTTCCAAACAGGAAATAGAGGGCAAGTTCTATTGGCTCTTCCTTAATTTCACATCTGCCATACACGTGCCTACACACAGGCACAAGAGGACTGGAATGTTGTTGGGCACTGGGGCCCTACACAGTCCATCCAGTACTACTTCACTCCACATCCTTCCTGCCTCCTTTGCATGCCAGCACTGGTCCCTGTGTTCTGTGAGCCACGGAAGCTGTCCAACATTAAATCCTCATCATCCCTCCCTGGGTTTATTTTATAAATGTAGGCGCTAAGAAGCATTTATTTTTCCTCTCAGAAAAGTCTAGCACTAGCTTGTTGCAAATATTATCTCTACAAAGGGCTTCAAAAATACTTTTGGATGTCAAAAAGTGACTGTGTTCCTTTGTTCTTATTTGGCTCTTATTCTTCTGCTGAAACAGGGGAGCTGGTCTTAGTCTCAGCGTGTAGACAATTTCATGGCAGTAGGAATGCCAGAAATAGACAACACTCTCAAGTCACATTCCTTTTTCCTTCCTTCCTTCCTTCCTTCCTTCCTTCCTTCCTTCCTTCCTTCCTTCTTTTTTTGATTTATTTTATTTGTTTGAAAGGCAGAGTTACAGGGAGAAGTAGAGACACAGAGAGAAGTCTTCCATCTGCTGGTTCATTCCCTAAATGACCACGATGGCCAGAGCTGAGCTGATCGAAAGCCAGGAGCTTCTTCCAGGTCTCCCCCATGAGTGCAGGGACCCAAGGACTTGGGCCGTCTTCCACTGCTTTCCCAGGCCATAGCAGAGAGCTGGATAAGAAGTGGAGCAGCTGGGACTCAAACCAGCGCCTAAATGGGATGCTGACACTGCAGGTGGGGCATTAACCCATTGTGCCACAGCGCCAGCCCCTCAGACCACATTTGAAAACATCATCTCTCTGACTAGATGCGCCCCACCTGTGGCCTGCTATCCCCATACCTCACCTCTTCCTCCATGACTCCTCTCCCACCGGCAGCCTTCCACGAAAGGGAGAAGTGGGCTGTGGTGTCAGGATGCCCGTGTATTTGGCAGTACGTTCTGCACAAAAAGAGGACAGAGAGAATCAGCTGGCCGATATCACATTTTTTATCTAGGTCAGAAAATGCATGTGCCTTCTATACATAAAGGCAATGTGTAATTTGATAGGATATACAAAAGCCTTATTTAGTAACTAATGGGTGAGCAAACAGGAAGTACTAAAGGGAAGACACAAGATCTGTGTCAGAGAATATTTAAGAAACAGGGAATTATACACTCAGCTGAACAAGTAATCCCAAAGTGAGATTGGCAAGTTAGAAAAGAGTTCGTTCCATTTTACAATCTATTGGAATAGTTTCTCCACCTGGCTATTAACATGTGTCATCTTCTCCTAACCTGTCCTCATGTTCCTTCTGGGAAAACCTCCTTCTGTTCTAGGTATGAGTTTGGTGGGATTTGCCTTGCCCTTAGGGAGGGGGAGGAGCAGAGAGGGGTTTATGACCCAAGAAATGCCAGAGTCATGTTCTGAGACTTTTCAAACTAGAGCAAGAATAAAAATCAATGTCTCTCTGGGGGTAGAGCTAGGAATCCCAGTTCCACCACTTTTATCTATGTGACCTTGGGCAAGTTACTCCAGCTCTCTGTCTCCCAATGTCCTACCAATAAAGTTTTTCTTGTCTATAAAATAGGGATGATAATAGTACATACCTGACAGAGTTGTTATGAAATTTTATTTAATAATCTGGGTGTTGAGAAATATGTTTGGCACATAGTAAGCTTTCAACAAACTGCAGCAGAAATAGGAACTGCCAATATCCATGTTCTCTGCCTATTGGAGAAAGAAAATTAGAGCTAATAATGGAAAATAGTATTCAGGAGCCCTGAGTCCCTGGATTAACTTAACCCTGAGGCCAATAAAATATTTTTATTTTCCTGGGGTTATGCCAGACCTCTCATAAATTTCTGCTTTTAGCCACTATGTTCCTAAAGTTGTACCTATGAAAAATATATTCATTAAATAAAAGCTTTAAAATAAAAAATTAAAAATAAGTTCCTGATTTTGCCTAAATTTTGTATTTTCATTCTTCGATTTTTACCTACTTGCAACTTTTAAAAATTTTTTTCATTTTATTTTAAAGGGAGAGAGAGAGAGAGAGAAAGAGAGAGAAAGAGAATCTTTTATCTACTCTTCAACTATTTCACTCCCCAAATATCCACAACAGCTAGGGCTGGGCCAGGCTGAAGCCAGCAGTCTGAAACTTGATCTGGATTCCCACAGGAATGCCAAGGATCCAACTCGTTGAGCCATCGCTACTATCCCCCAGAATGTGCATCAGCAGGATGTTGGATCCAAAGTAGAGGAGCTGAGGCTTGAACCAAGTGCTCAAATATGGGATGCTGGCATCCCAAGCGCTGCATCAAACTCCTGCCCAACTAACCTGTAAATTTCACCCCTTTTAAATATGCCTGAATATTTAAAGTTTTAAAAAAAAGGTGCCAAAACCTTTTGTCAAAATTAATAACCAGAAACCAATAGTGAAGATTTCAGCATGAAGTTACTTTTGTCAAGAAGAAAGTCAATTTTGTCTCCAACCTTTGGAGAGCAATCTACACCGCTGGCCTCTGCTTGTTCTCATTAACTTTTGCTTGATCTGAATCCAACTCTCATGTTCAGCAATGATTTGTGGTGTCTTATGCAGAGAATCTGAGGGGTGGGAGGTGGTGCTTCTTATGTTTTTTCCATTCCCATCACTGCGCTGGCCTGTCTTATCTCAGCTGTGCCCTCCAGGCATTCCACCAAAGGAGGAACTACAAAGAACTCTCCCTGGAATTGTTGATCCTGATTTTGTTTCTTTTGAGTGTTTCCCCAAATTTTCTTTTCTCTTTTTTTAATTTCTTTTTTTTTTTTTTTTGGAAGAAAGACATTTCCAATTTTAGTCATGGCTCTGTGGCTAACAGTTTGATGAGAATGACATTTTCCCCTGCAAATATTAATTGAACACCTTCCACTTACCATGCACATGAACAAGATGGACACAGTGCTAGCTCTCTTTATGCAAAGATTGAATTCATCACAGTTCTTCCCAATAAGCACTGAGTGTCTACATGGTGCCAGGCTTGGTTTAAGTGCTGTGGATATGGTAGTGAAAGAAACAGACTGCTTTGCTCACTGAATGACACTTTTAAGTGTGGAAAGCCCCAGGAACAGGTGCACCTCTTTCCTCTGTAAAGTCTCAGAATGTCTCCTTCTCATCCCATGTGAACCTTCCAAAGATTTCTTGGCCAGAAAAAAATAAAATAAGATAATGCCCTCCTAAAGGTTTACACAGTCACTGACAATTTCAACTGGGAAGGAAACTCAAGAAAATATTTAGTCCAAATCCTTCACACTGCATTTGTAGACGCTGATCAGGAAATAGGTTGGAACTGATCCCAAATCACCCCTATATAACACAGTCAACACTAGAATCTGGGTTTTCTATTCCCAACCTTGTGAGTTCTCTCCTAGGTCTGACAGCCCACATGAGAATAGCTGCCCAGACCATGTTTGCCATAAATGCAGAATGACTGAATTTTTTTTTTTAAGATTTTATTTGAGAGGTGGAGTTACAGACAGTCAGAGGGAGAGACAGAGAGGAAGGTCCTCCATCTGCTGTTTCTCTCTCCAAATGGCCACAACAGCCAGAGCTGAGCTGATTTGAAGCCAGGAGCCAGGAGTTTCTTCTGGGTCTCCCATGCGGGTGTAGAGGCCCAAGCACTTGTGCCATCCTCCACTGCATGGACTCAGGCCATCTTCTACTGCTTTCCCAGGCCATAGCAGAGAGCTGGATCGGAAGTGGAGCAGCTGGGATGTGAACCAGCGCCCATATGGGATGCCGGCACTGCAAGCTGTGGCTTTACCTGCTATGCCACAGCGCTGGCCCCTAACTTATTTTTAAGTCACTTTCCTAGAAAACCATGTCAGGGAAGGCAGAGGTAGTGGACAAATACCTGTGCCTCCTCAGTAACATCTAGAATCCAGAATTTTCAGGCCCAAACTCACAACTTGTGCAGGAGAGGAAAAGAGTGGATGGAAGGCGGGACATTAGAGATGCACTCCAAGCTTCAGTTCTGGATTTTGTGACGTCAGGAAAGTCTGTCTAAACAGGGAGCTTGCACTACTTGAAAAACGGATGGTAAATACAGCAAATCTGAGGGGTTGGGAACCCGAGCTGCTGACTGAAAAATGACGGTGAGTGCTGAGGGCCTGTGGGAGAAGCAGAGCATGTGCGTGTCCTGGGGACATTCCTCTTCACTGAACACAGACCGTCAGACTCGTGGCTGTTTCTGTTTTGCAGGGAAACCTAGGTTGTTCGCTCTTGCTTTTTACACTGTTGTTTCTAATTGTTTTTTTTTTATTATTATTACAAGTAAGGTTATTATGAATATTATTTTGCAAGTCTTTTAAGGTTCATGTCTTTTCATCTCTTTTCAAGAAATACATGAGCGGACTTGCAAGGCCACTTATATAGATGCTTAGCTTTTTTTGGTGAAATTTCCAAAGTTCTGTATTATTTTACATTCCCCTTCCCGTTGTATGAAAATTCCATTTGTTGTCCATCCTACCGACATTTATATGGGTCAGATTTCTGCTTGTTTTTTCTTTCTTTTGCCGTTCTATTTGTGGATAATGGCATTTTTTACTTAACATCTTCATAACAACTGATAATTCTGAGTATCCTTTTATGTGCTTATAGACATCTTTATATTATTTATTATAAAGTTCTACACTTTTGCTTAGCTTTTATTGGGTTGTTTTCCTTTTAAATATTGATTTACAAGAGTTCTTTAAATATTCTGAATGTATGTATGCTGGAGGTGTTTTCTTTTTCTTTCTTATTTTTCATTTCTTAATTGTATCAAAAACATTTTTGATTTGATAAAGCTCATTTGACTACTTTCTTTTCTATTATGATTCATACTTTTAATGACCTATCAAGAAATCTTTACCCACTTCAAGTTTGCGCAGTGAATCTGTATTCTCCTCTAGAAGTTTTATGGCTTTATGTTTAAGTCTGTGATCCAGTCTGACTTAATTTTTTTGCAGAGTGCAAAATAAAGGTTAAAGTTCACATTTGCCTATATGTGTTTACTCAGTAACTGAATCTGTATTTGTTGAAAAGATTTTTATTTCCTTGTTGAATTGTCTTATCTTTGTTGCAAATGAATTATTTTAATATATTTTAAATATATATTAAATATTAAACATTCATATTTAATTAAATTAATATTTAATTGTATAGTTACTATATTTTTAAATATATGAGTATATTTCTGAATTTCATCCAATACCACTGATCTGCTTGTCTCTCCTTACCTCAGTATCTATCTTACATAGTGTAGAATTGTAATCAGTGTCTGAATCAGGTGGAGAAGGCCTCCTACTGAGATCTTTCTCAGGATTGTTTGGACTAGTGAAAGATATTGACGTCTCCATCTACCTTTTAGGATGAGCTTGATAAAATCTCCAGGAAGCTACTGGGATTAAGTTTGTGACTGCATTGAATTCTTAGATTTGGAGACAACTAACCAATTAAAATATTGCCTTCCAATCCATAAACATATTATACATGTCCATTTATTTAGAGCTTCCTAAATATTTTTGTCTGCATTTTTTTAGTTTGCAGCATATGTCTCCTATCTCTTTAAATTTTGTCCCTGAACACTTTTATATGCTTATAAAAGGTATCATTCTAAAATTTTCTTCTGTAAGTGTGCCCATTATGTAGAACAATAAATATATTTTTATATATTGACCTCATATGCAAACTTTTAAGATTCCCTTATTACTTCTAATGGTTGCCTTGTCAATAACTTAGCCTTACTTACATACATGATCCTGTCATCTGCAAATAAAGGCATTTTTACTTCTATTTTCTAATCTTAATGCCTTTTCTTTATTTCCCTGGCTGTATTGCACTGATTGTAGTCTCCAGGACAATCCTGAGTGAAAGTGATGGAATTAGATATATTTTTCCAAAGATTGTTCCTGATCTTAGGGGGAAGCATTAAGTAGTTCAACAGTTTGTACAAAGTAGGTTTTCCTACAGGTCCTTCACAAGGGTGAAGAAGGTGTGCGTGCTCCTTTTTGCTGAGTGATTATGAAATTCCTTTGCAGGAATGTACATTTTTTCCCAAAGTGCTTTTTGTGCATCTGTTGAGATGATCCTGTAATTTTTGCCTTCATTGTCATATTTATCATATTTATGTGCCAAGTTAAATTGATTTTTGAACATTAAACCAACTTTATTTGGATAAATCCTACATGGTGATGGTAAATTATCATTTTATTATAATTCTGGATTCAATTTGTTACTTTTTTTTTTTAATTTTTTGACAGGCAGAGTGGACAGTGAGAGAGAGAGAGAGAGAAAGGTCTTCCTTTGCCATTGGTTCACCCTCCAACAGCCACCGCGGCCGGCGTGCTGTGGCCGGCGCACCGCGCTGATCCGATGGCAGGAGCCAGGTACTTATCCTGGTCTCCCATGGGGTGCAGGGCCCAGGTACTTGGACCATCCTCCACTGCACTCCCTGGCCACAGCAGAGAGCTGGCCTGGAAGAGGAGCAACCGGGACTAGAACCCGGTGTACCGGCGCCGCAAGGCGGAGGATTAGCCTAGTGAGCCGCGGTGCCGGCCCAATTTGTTACTATTTTGTTGAGGATGTTTGCATCTTGTAATGTACCTTATTAGTTTGGTGTCAGGATTATGCTGACATCAAAAAAATAAATAAATAAATTGGGAACCGTTCCCAACTCTTTAGTTTTCTGAAGAACTTTGTGTAACAGTGG